TATATATTGTGACATTCGGACCCCTTTCTTGGAAGTGCCAGCAAGAACATATATTGTGACATTCGGACCCCTTTCTTGGAAGTGCCATCAAGAACATATATTGTGACATTCGGACCCCTCTCTAGGAAGTGCCAGCAAGAACTTATATTGTGACATTCGGACCCCTTTCTAGGAAGTGCAAGAAGAACTTATATTGTGACATTCGGACCCTTCTGTGTAAAGTGTTAAGGTTTCATAAAATCGGGCATATAGAGGTAAGCCATACCTTATCGTATTATATCGAATACAAATTGTAAAAGAACGAGATCCTTGAAATAATCATGGCACCAAAATCCAGCTACAAGGCCTATCACTTTTATTATAATCTGTCTCACAATTGCTGAATAGCATTATTTTCCCTTCTATTTTGCTAGCTATAGGGCCTTAAATGAAGCAAATCTGTTTCCCCCATGTCTATGAATCTCCCATTTCAATAAAGAAAAAGGAATTATTGTGTCTGTCAAATTTAGTTAATTAGAGACCAAACGCTAGTCATATTAAAGCCCTTAGTTTAGTAGTACTACTCCATTTGTGTCAGTTACCACTACGATCAGGAAATGCTCTGAAATGCTCTGATACCATTCACCCTCCCACAACAAACTCCCAGCTGATATTTTTATCTTCCGCCACTCACATTACAAGCCCGCCACCTCATGGCCCCAGCACACATTCCAGAGCGTCTGTGAATGGAAAGCCTGCCCAGTTAATTACAAAGCAGTACCGCTCTCAGCAGCCCGCATGGCACACTATGTTGTAGACTTGCACAAGGCTCTAAAGTAGTAATGAATAGTTTAAACAACAATTCCCACAACAACAGCAAATATATGCAATCAATATTAACACATTGTCCATCTAACAGACGGACCTTTATCTTGACTTAGAAAGATTGCATTGCTGTACACTTGTAGCTGGGTTATGATGACAAACGAGAATTATTTTCCCAATATCTATCTTCTCAAGCATCACATCGGTTCGAAGGAACCCTGTGAAAGTATAATTGTCCCTGGCAAATCTTTAAGAAAACATTCTTGCAACGCTATACCCCAAACTCCATTGTTATGCTAAAAAGAGATAATGACGTAATAGACAGGAAACAAAACAGTCGGAGTCAATTGCTGACTTCTTACAAACGGTGGGACATCAAACAGCCATAATTGACCGAAACAATGATGATTTTGTCAGGGATCTCGTTCTTAGATTAGAATGTCAAAAAAAAATAATTGAAATTGTATTAACTAGACCACATTTTTACTCCCTGAAGTTATATAGAGCGCAGAAATTGGTGACGCTACTGGATCCCCTGAGGACGAATTACGGGAAATGCACACAATTCACGTACTGAGCGAACCGATGGACCACCAGATCGCGTTTTCTCTCCAGTCAATTAATGTTGTTGATTTGAGCCAGTTCCTACATACGCAACCACACACAGTCCAAAGACACATTACCATAACCACTGATTCGGTGCTCTCAATAATACCCAGATACAGCAGTATCTGCGGAAACGCTAGTATAGTGCACGAAACACTTACATTACAGTTGAAGGAGGCAGGCAACAGGCGGTATATGTCCAAACTTACTTTGACACAGGGTTTAAAAAGGCTGGGGAGGTGGATTCTTGTCGGACGAGATATGTATTCGCCGTGGAAGCGAATTTCCTGGAGAACATGAGAGATTATATTTTTATAAGGATACTAGCCTGTTGAGGCGGCTTCTTGTCGGACGAGATATGTATTCGCCGTGGAAGCGAATTTCCTGGAGAACATGAGAGATTATATTTTTATAAGGGTACCAGCCTGTTGAGGCGGATTCTCGTCGGACGAGATATGTATTCGCCGTGGAAGCGAATTTCCTGGAGAATATGAGAGATTTATATTTTTATCAGTGAATTAGCCTGTTGAGGCGGAGTCTTGTCCGATGAGATATGAATTAGCCTGTTGAGGCGGAGTCTTGTCCGATGAGATGTGAATTAGCCTGTTGAGGCGGAGTCTTGTCCGATGAGATATGAATTAGACTGTTGAGGCAGAATCTTGTCCGATGAGATATGAATTAGACTGTTGAGGCGGAGTCTTGTCTGATGAGATGTGAATTAGCCTGTTGAGGCGGAGTCTTGTCCGATAAGATATGAATTAGCCTGTTGAGGCGGAGTCTTGTCCGATGAGATATGAATTAGCCTGTTGAGGCGGAGTCTTGTCCGATGAGATATGTATTAGCCTGTTGAGGCGGAGTCTTGTCCGATGAGATATGTATTAGCCTGTTGAGGCGGAGTCTTGTCCGATGAGATATGTATTAATAGCCTGTTGAGGCGGAGTCTTGTCCGATGAGATATGTATTAGCCTGTTGAGGCGGAGTCTTGTCCGATGAGATATGTGTTGGCCTGTTGGGGCGGATTCGTGTCTGATGAGAGTGGTACAATGGTTCACCATGAGGGTGAATGTAGCCTGTCGAGGCGTAGATGTATAAATAGCTCAAGTAATATTCATTGCGGATGGCTACTGTCAGTGGGCCCTACCGGTAGCGACCCGCAAGAGCCGATGCCAGCCTCCCCTACACCACTGACGAAACTAGCCGTTGTTGCCCAAAGCTGACTGTTCGCCACTGCGCAGGGTGACGGTAGGCTCGCTTTTATGTGGATGGGCAGCTTTGGTTATTGACGTAAGAGCCGCACCAACAAACAAACAAACAAACAAAACAAAAAAGAAACAAACAAACAAAACAAATTCAGGTCACATTATCGTGTGACACACCTTCACGGTACATGGAAAATAGAACAGCGCCAACAGACAACAAACCAATAAACAAAAACAACTACTATTAATCACAGAGACTCAACCCTTGGTAGTATAAGGGTTTGTTTCATAATCACATTTAAACTGGAAACTTTACAAAGACACGCACCTATATACACCACCATGCTGGAATGGAGACTGTTGCGGAAACATGCGATCTGGTTGGCCCTTGGACCGGATGTAGAGACGGTTATACTTTTATGTATACAAACAAACACTATACTTGAAAAATTACGTCAAGTATTGCTATTGGACTTGTCAGGTGCTACTTACGACAGTGAGAAGACTTTGTAACGTAATCAAGGCACATACTTTCGCCGTCTCTATCAATGCGTTTCTTGCACGCGGGAAGTGGGTTACCCGTTGAACGTCATTAGGTTTTTCGTGCATTATTTTCAATTGTGGTAGTCTTTTAGATAGTCAAATATATTCCGCTGTGTACTTTACTGTTACAGTATCTATACTATTGTAATTAATATCCAATATGGCATGGCTCCCCTTGATGACGACTACGATCACAAGATCTCGATATAGGGTATAAATTATGTCGCATGCCTCTGGTTTTTAAGTGCTTTGAATAATATATGTTTAAGGTGGGGGAACGTTGGGGAAAACCATAAACGAAATGGAAAGATAACAGGGCCAAACTCAAAGTGCTCAGTGAATTCATGGCCGTAGGACCAAAATGAACTTCCAGAATATTATTTTATCATGTCGTCAAAGGGAGTTATACACATATATAGTAGATACCCATAGTTATTGTTGTTAACAAATATGTATTAGTATTGGGATTGATACCTTATACCCACTAGGTACCGGAATGAATTTGTGTTATACTCAGTCATAAACAATTGTACCATTTTGTATTCACTTCTCGTGGGTGATATGTTGCTATATTAGTAGTTGTTGAAACCATTTTAACCAACGGGATTGTGAACCGTTCTATGTGTTGCTGTACTCGATTGTATTTCAAATCGGTTGCTGTCTACTGGCTCTGTCTGTCACATTCAAAAACAAAGGAATGAAAAATCAACAAAAACATTTGGCACAAACTTGGATCCCTGCGTCACAGAACTTAGAGTGCGAGTGTGAGGGCACACTCTTGGTCAGAAAGGGGGTCGTATTACAGGCATGAAATTATAATATTGATAAAGATAGAACTTAGAGTGTGAGGGCACACTCTTGGTCAGAAAGGGGGTCGTATTATAGGCATAAGATTATGGTACTTGCTGCAATAATAGATATACAATTGACATTATTAATAACAGTGATTAAGAGGTGATAAGATACAAATTATGAGAGGATTTAATAATATATTTAAGATGTAAAGTGATTAATAACGTTGTAAGGTAGGAAGGAAGTCAGTAGCGGAGGTAATAAACATGAAAGTAGGTCGTTAAAGCTGATGGGGGCAACGTGACTCATAGCTTAGGTAGGGAAAAAATTGTTACACTATCAAGATTGAGCGGCGTGTCCGGGGACCTTGCTACCAGATCTTGGTACTATACGAGTCATATATGGTTAGGGGAGAGAAACTCTGAGATTCCTGGAATACACCTCACGGTCTTGCAAATATGGTAGTGGGGGTACGAAATATAGGTGGGGGAGAGTAATAGATAGTCAGGTTATGGGTTATTGACCAATAGAAAAAATGAAAAAGGGTGTTGGCTGTGACGTAGGAACCCAGGTTTAAGCTGGAGCAAAGCTCAGAGACGGGAGAGTGGTGCGAGACTTGAAGCCGAGAACGAGTGTGCTCCTAGGAACCCCAAGCCTGGGGTCTAGGGCGCATCAGCTCTATTCTGATTGTCACTAACTTTCGTACTAAGAAACAAACTCAAAGCACCAGCATTTCGACTGAGACTGAAGCTTCCCAGCTGAAGTCTTCTAATTATGTGACAAATAGAGTGGGTTGGACCAGCAACGCAGTGTCAATAAAACTGTGGAACGAAGAACATCGTCTTGTGGTTGCTGGAGGAACTACGGTAAAGGTCCAAAGGGCCCTCGGGTACTGACACGGTGCCTCTCGCACATCCCTTATTGTCAGGAGCGAAGTACGAGGGTATACCGTAGTTCCAGGTAACGACACACCATCCCAGGTGAGGGATACCGACAGGTAAAATACCAACTACCTGCCAGGTAAAGGTGATAGTCGGAACCCTTTGGATACTTCCACAGATTGACATCAATTGTCGGGGATTTTTGGGTTGGACACCACTGATGGCAGCAGCTTTGTGTGGGAAGAAAGATGTTGTCGACCTGCTCGTGTCAAGGGGAGCTGATCTCACACCAAGAGATGACAACAATGACACCCTCCTTCATGTGGCATGTGAAGGTGGAAATAGTCCCATTGTAGAAGATCTGCTTCCACAGTTTGACATAAATTGTCGAGGACAACTGGGTTGGACACCACTGATGGCAGCAGCATGGTGTGGGAAGCAAGATGTTTTCGACCTGCTCGTGTCAAAGGGAGCTGATCTCACACTAAGAGATGACTGCAATAGAAATGTCCTTCATGTGGCATGTGATGGTGGAAATAGTCCCATTGTAGAAGATCTGCTTCCACAGTTTGACATTAATTGTCGGGGATTTGTGGGTTGGACACCACTGATAGCAGCAGCTTGGTGTGGGAAGAAAGATGTTGTCGACCTGCTCGTGTCAAAGGGAGCTGATCTCACACTAAGAGATGACTGCAATAGAAATGTCCTTCATCTGGCATGTCAGGGTGGAAATAGTCCCATTGTAGAATATCTGCTTCCACAGTTTGACATTAATTGTCGGGGACAACTGGGCTGGACACCACTGATGACAGCAGCTTTAAATAGGAAGAAGGATGTTGTCAACCTGCTCGTGTCAAAGGGAGCTGATCTCACACTAAGAAATGATAACAATGACACCCTCCTTCATGTGGCATGTGAAGGTGGAAATAGTCCCATTGTAGAAGATCTGCTTCCACAGTTTGACATTAATTGTCGGGGATTTGTGGGTTGGACACCACTGATGGCAGCAGCTTGGTGTGGGAAGAAAGATGTTGTCGACCTGCTCGTGTCAAAGGGAGCTGATCTCACACTAAGAGATGATGACAATGACACCCTCCTTCATGTGGCATGTGAAGGTGGAAATAGTCCCATTGTAGAAGATCTGCTTCCACGGTTTGACATTAATTGTCGAGGACAACTGGGTTGGACACCACTGATGACAGCAGCTTTAAATAGGAAGAAGGATGTTGTCGACCTGCTGGTGTCAAATGGAGCTGATCTCACACTAAGAAATGATAACAATGACACCCTCCTTCATGTGGCATGTGAAGGTGGAAATAGTCCCATTGTAGGAGATTTGCTTCCACAGTTTGACATTAATTGTCGGGGATTTGTGGGTTGGACACCACTGATGACAGCAGCTTGGTGTGGGAAGAAAGATGTTTTCGACCTGCTCGTGTCAAAGGGAGCTGATCTCACACTAAGAGATGATGACAATGACACCCTCCTTCATGTGGCATGTGAAGGAGGAAATAGTCCCATTGTAGGAGATCTGCTTCCACAGTTTGACATTAATTGTCGGGGACAACTGGGTTGGACACTACTGATGTCAGCAGCTTTAAATAGGAAGAAGGATGTTGTCGACCTGCTCGTGTCAAAGGGAGCTGATCTCACACTAAGAAATGATAACAATGACACCCTCCTTCATGTGGGATGTGAAGGTGGAAATAGTCCCATTGTAGGAGATCTGCTTCCACAGTTTGACATCAATTGTCGGGGACAACTGGGCTGGACACCAGTGATGACAGCAGCTGTGTATGGCAAGAAGGATGTTTTCGACCTGCTCGTGTCAAAGGGAGCTGATCTCACACTAAGAGATGACTGCAATAGAAATGTCCTTCATCTGGCATGTGAAGGTGGAAATAGTCCCATTGTAGAAGATCTGCTTCCAGTGTTTGACATTAATTGTCGAGGACAACTGGGTTGGACACCACTGATGACAGCATATTTGTATGAGAACGAAGATGTTGTACACCTGCTGGTGTCAAAGGGAGCTGATCTCACACTTAGAAATGACAACAATGACAGCAAATGAAAATCTGCTTCCACGGTTTGACATTAATTGTCGGGGATATGTGGGTTGGACACCACTAATGACAGCAGCTTTAAATAGGAAGAAGGATGTTGTCGACCTGCTCGTGTCAAAGGGAGCTGATCTCACACTAAGAGATGACTGCAATAGAAATGTACTTCATGTGGCATGTGAAGGTGGAAATAGTCCCATTGTAGAAGATCTGCTTCCAGTGTTTGACATTAATTGTCGGGGACAACTAGGTTGGACACCACTGATGACAGCATATTTGTATGAGAACGAAGATGTTGTCGACCTGCTGGTGTCAAAGGGAGCTGATCTCACACTATGAAATGACAACAATGACACCAAATGAAAATCTGCTTCCACGGTTTGACATTAATTGTCGGGGACAACTAGGTTGGACACCACTGATGACAGCAGCTTTAAATAGGAAGAAGGATGTTGTCGACCTGCTGGTGTCAAAGGGAGCTGATCTCACACTGAGAGATGACAACAATAACACCCTCCTTCATGTGGCATGTCGAGAGGGAAATAGTGGCATTTTAGAAAATCTGCTTCCACTGTTTGACATTAATTGTCATGAAAAACTGGGCCGGACACCACTGATGACAGCAGCTTTAATTGGGAGGAAGGATGTTTTCGACCTGCTCATGTCAAAGGGAGCTGATCTCACACTAAGAGATGACAGCAACAGAAATGTACTTGATCTGGCATGTCAGGGTGGAAATAGCCCCATTGTAGAAGATCTGCTTCCACTGTTTGAGGTTAATTGTCGGGGACAGATGGGTTCCACACTATTGATGACAGCAGCATTGCATGAGGAGAAGGATGTTGTCGACCTACTCATGTCAAAGGGAGCTGATCTCACACTAAGAAATGACAACAATGACACCCTCCTTCATGTGGCATGTGAAGGTGGAAATAGTCCCATTGTAGAAGATCTGTTTCCATTGTTTGACATCAATTGTCGGGGACAGCTGGGTTGGACATCTTCGATGGCAGCAACTTGGTGTGAGAAAGAAGATGCTGTCATCCTGCTCGTGTCAAAGGGAACTGATCTTTCACTAAAAGATGACTGCAATAGAAATGTCCTTCATCTGGCATGTCAGGGTGGAAATAGCCCCATTGAAGAAGATCTGCTTCCAGTGTTTGAGATTTATTTTCTGGGATATGTGGGTTGGACACCACTGATGACAGCAGCTTGGTGTTGGAAGAAGGATGTTGTCGACCTACTCTTGTCAAGGGGAGCTGATCTTTCTCTGAAAGATAACTACAATAGAAATGTCTTTGGTGTGGCATCTCACGGTGGAAATAGTCCCGTTGTAAAAGATCTGCTTCCAGAGTTTGACATTAATTGTATGGAAAAACTGGACCGGACACCACTAATGACAACAGCTTCGTGAGGGAAGAAGGATGTTGTCGACCTGCTCGTGCAGAAGGAGCGAATCTTTCACTAAAAGATGACTAAAATAGAAATGTCCTTCATCTGGCATGTAAAGGTGGAAATAGTGAAATTGAGGTACATCTGCTTCCAATATTTGACATTTACTGTCGCTGAGAAAACGGTTTTATACCAGCAAAGGAAGCAGCTTTCTGTGGAAAACACAATATTTGGGAACTTCTTCTGAAAAGTGGAGGTAACAGTACATGTGTAGATGATGATAACCTCACAACACTACTTTGATCTCAGACACAAGAGAATGCATCCTTACTATGGCTCACAGAGGGCTAAGCAATGACATCGTGGAATACCTGAGGAATATGTCCGGAAATCAATGAATGAGAAAAAATTGAAAAATTGGTGGACAGCTGATGGACTTATAACGTAAGAATGTCAATGACCATTGTGGACATCAAATATTGAATTATTAAATATACTGATACACTGTGAATATGCATAATGAGTATGAACAAGAAGTGAGCAAAGGAATTTTGCACACAGCAGATAACACTTCAAATGAAACCTGTAATACGACTATGTTCATTTTCATGATCTTACGCCTCAATAAGCTGAACAATCTGATGTTTGTGAGGTCAAATTTGTTAAATAAATACAAAGAATGTAGGATGCTCTGCATGCAATTTGAATATACCCATTGTCTTTAGTGAATATTTGGAAGATAACATTTGTTTTTATTTGACACTTGACTTATCGATGTTCCACAGGTTTGGTACCAATTGTAATCGGATATTGTAGATATGTAAATAGATGTCTATATCATTTTGACACCGAACATAATGCTGCAGTACATAGGTGCATAACATTACATGTGTCGTTTTACTCCTGGCCAATTAAATATGCTTTGACTATTTTGGTGGTTGCAAATGGGAGAAATTGATAATGATGTACATTCAGTAATTACTAGATGTTTATTTTATTTCCAAACCTGCTTCCTTTGTTGCAGTGGTTACCAACTATTGCTTGTAATCAGATGTAGATATGTAAATAGATTTCTAGATTTCTACTATTTCCACCTATGCAATTGTTTGACACAGTTTGTTCATTCCTGGAGAAATAGTTTTTTCAGACATTTGTAACATTATTCACTGACTATATTTGCTGGTTGCAAATGGGATATGATGAAAACATTCACATTCAGCAATTAATGGATGTTTTTTTCACCCCATAGGCGGCTATAGGTAGTAACTCCTATCCTTTAATCAGATGCTGTAGATATGTACATAGATGTCTATATAATTGTTTGACATAGTTTGTTCATTCCTGGAGAATTAAGATGAACTGAGGGTCTCGTATTTCAGCTGTTCACTCAATATTTGACATAATGCATTGAGTATACTTTGTGGTATCAAAATAGGAAATATTGCAAATAATCCACATCTCAATTATTACATGTTTATTCTAAGATATGCTTATTTGCTTATTTGCATGATGTTCATCATGAAATATATACATGTGATATAAATTAATTCAAAAGGTAATAACCCCACTGATTTTCAATTACGCATATAGATATAACTGAAGGTGGCTCACAACTCGACGTCTGTCTGTATGCCTGCCTGTCTGTTGAATTCCATTCATAACTTTTCTCAATAGTTTCACGTTGTCAAATGATTGTGTGGGATAGGCATTATGTGTGTGTATATATCGATGTGTTCTTGGGGGTCGGAGGAAGATATTTTTCTTTCTTTCCTTTTTGTCAGGACAATACAGAAGTTGTGAGAACTTTGATAGACAATTAGACTGGTCAACTATCGTACATATTGTCAATATACTCATTGTACAGTTACAAACAGAACTGATTTGATATTGAACATGGAACTGATTTGATATTGTACATATAACTTATTTGATATTGTGCATAGAACTGGTTTGAAATTGTACATAGATCTGGTTTGATATTGTGCATAGAACTGGTTTGAAATTGTACATAGACCTATTGATATATTACATTGCATACATACTGAACCACAAAAGAAACGTCGCCTTTCAAGCCAAATGCAAAATTTTGTTCTTACAAGGTGGAGTATCTATCATGATCGTACCGTTTTGTTAACATGTTTTTCAATCCAAATTGACAGTTATTACCAACATCAATGTGTTTTCTGATAAAAAAGCATATCGACCTAACGCACCGAAAAAGGCAGACATGGTAGAAGGTTCAGTATGACATTCGTGAAAATGAAAATGCACGTGCATGTCGTGAAAACCCTACCATTGAAAGCGGGTCCCAAACTCGCCTCAAATCATTTTTGTTTTGACACAATCACCATGGGGCGACTTACGAGGGATCAGAGGAACGAAGTCTTGGGGCGATTGCAAGTTGTCCCGACTGCACCTAGGGTAGTCAATCATTTTAATGTCATGTTAGGACAATCTATCGACTGCAGGAGTGGTGTCAGGTCACTAACAGCATCCAAGACCTTCAGTAACATCACAACGTCAAGACCGACAGATTTTGCGCCACCATGTGCAGAATCGCTTCATCAGAGTGACGGAAACAGCACGCCAGACCACTGGGACTCACAACAGACCCATCAGTGCCGATACAGTGCGTTTACGTTTGCGCAGAATAAACCTCTGCTGTCACAGACCCTATGGTAGTCCTGTCATAGCCGCTCATCACCGCCCAAACCGAAATGCAATGGGCAACTCAGCATCGAAATTGGTGTTATCAACAATGGAGAACTGTGTTGTCATCTCATGAATGCCGATATTGTGTTTCGACAGTCAATGGCAGAGTGAGAGTATGGTGAAGCAGTGGGGAACTGTCTTCCAATGAATGTATTGTTGAAGAGACTCGTGGGGTGGTCGAAGCATCATAGTGTGGGGTGCAATCGGTTTTAAACCAGTTAGTTGGCACCGTGGTGTTCCAGAATCTCGGTCCAGGACGAGGAAATGACATGGCAGCTGCTCATTATACTGACCAAGTCATAAGACCCCATGTTGCACCACATTTTTGACGTTACAAAAATCACATCTTCCAGCAAGACAACGCTCGTGTCAACACTGCCATCTAAACGCGACAATAGCCTGCACTCAGCCCGGATTTAAGTCCAATAGAACACTTTTGGGACGAGATTCAAAGAAGACTGAATTACCTCCAACGAAGGCCGACAACTGCGGCTGGACTCGATCAGACATTTCCAAGTGCCTAAGGCCTTCATCAACCGGCTAATTCATTCCAGATGATGGAACGCTTTCATCAATGCCCATGGAGGCCATACACGATACTGATTTTGGGATATCTTAATGGTACTGTTTTTGGTGATAATGTTTGTGATAACTCTATTGTGATTCCCGAACATGTGTTAACCATAATGGTCAAGCTTGAACTCAATCTTCCTTTTTGATTGTTAACTAGAGTGAATTAAAGTGCGTGCTTTAAGAAACCGCTATCGGTGCGACATTTATTTTATGGTTCAGTATATATGCTCCTATTTTACCCAAGAAATGCTCAGTATCTAGACCCTTAAATATAAATCTACATTATTGGTAATAATTGTGACATGTTGTTTTTAGTGTCCTGTTGTCTACAAACTATACTTTCTATTATGTGAGAAATACATTGTGTATTCATTGTAATTTCACCTGTATAACGATATATAATTAAATATTTAAAGATTTCAGACCCCCTGAAGAAAAGCTTATTATTTCATATGCCTAATGATGACAACAAGTGTATAGAAATTAACATGGCATATTTTGTATGTCTGTTTCAGTAACTGTTGGGACATATTGTAACACGTGGTTCTATGTTATGTAATTCTGTTTAGATATAAATGTTCTGCTGATGCGGCGTTAGGCAATATTCACTCACTCACCAGATATAATTGTGAACAAGCCAAGTTTTATGTAAATAGATGTTGTAACATGCTGTGGTTAACGTCGGTGATGAATCACAATAATTGTGTGTTAAATACTGGATTTCCTTACATTGTTTACTGATGTGTGTATCTGTGTGTTTTTGTTGTTTGTGTATGTGTGTGCGCGAGTGTGTATGAGTGTGTCTCCTAGTATTTGTTTTCTTCTTTTCAAAGAAGTCTGAGTTGATTCATGTCTCTACCTATTTGTCCAGACACGAACCTGAGTGCCTGCTCTGTTTCTGTAACAGGGAGTAAGAAATAAATATATGAATCGTGTTATGTATTTTGTGTTATCTACCTATAGCAGACTGGCTTCTACACTCTCTACTGTCTGTCGGGGAAATGGTAGTTGATGACGGCCAACTTCCGGTTGATCATGAACAGGGCTTACCCCATGTGTTTCTTATATGGCGGTAATAATGCCGAATTGACGCAAAGCCCAACTCCACTAGTAAAGTACAGATTCTAGTACTTTTGTCGAGTCCCATCCCAGATTCGAACCCACACTCTCAGAGTCAGGCACCTTATCGCCAGCACTTAGCCTAACCCGCTCAGCCAACGCGACTTCCACAAAAATGGAAGTCGGACAACTGGTAGTCTAGAGCGGACTTGTGTACATCTGATAAGTGTACATTGGCATGGTTCCGATGGCCGAAAGCTATGATTACACAATGTCATTTAGAAGTTGTGGTCACATGTGACATATGTTAACAGTCATGTGGCATTTCTGACATGTTGCCATCATGGAAGTTTGGACGGACAGATGTTCAATGACACCTTCATCACTGAACGCAGTGTTTCTGTCAAAGCTGCATTCTTGTGGTGGTGTTTCCATGATCTGCAGTGAAACATGGTACTGCAAAATCCAACGTCTCAACGTTGCCGGTTGTACTATTCATCTATCATCACTGGGAGTCAACAAGAGGCAGGTTGGCAGTATTACACAGGTAAATATCTATTGCCTTATGTTATTCACTTTTGTTCATTTAGTGATATATAATCTGTGCTTGTTGTTTAACTCCTTAAATCTCTGATATTTGGCAACCTGTAACTATTTGGGTTTTGACCAGAAAACCCACTAATTAAGACCATTAGGCATAATAACAAACGTTCACAACAAATTCAGCAATGCATGACGGCAGTACCAGTTACTTTATGGTATTTATTTTCTTGTTTATTTATTATTCTAAACAAGAATGCATGTTGTTCTTAGAAAAAATGGATAGAACAGTATCTGATCTGTAAAGCTGTAATATGCCCATTGCCTTGGTATAATACAAAGCCAGTCAATTGATGTGACATAACCAACAAAAAAACCATCCTGATAACTCTTGCTCCTTCGTCGGGGGATGGTGAATCTATTACGGTAGTTAAATCGGTTAGTACAAGAACTAAGTGTGATGGCAACAAACAACAAAACAATGAATACAATCAACAATTGTATTCTAAGTTTATAAATTTATACAAATACTACAAAGGTATTACTGTGGCAGTACAGAGTCAAAGAAGTACGATACAAATACGTTTTTTTTACATTTGCCTCCGCATACAGGTTGTCTATTGGAGAAGTCCTTCATGTTCCAAGACAGAAACCATGGCATTGGTATAATACAAACCCAGTGATTAAAGAATATAAAGGCATAGATGGTAATATTTACTCACTGCAACATTGTCCAAGTAAACTTTAAGGTATTATGACAGATTAGAGGCAAGAGTGATATCATCTTATGTAACTCATAGAAGAAAATACCAGATCTTTCTTTTATGTTATCTGCATCAGTGAAGGGTTGCGGAATATTCACGTGCACTGTCTAAGTATGGGACATGTCTAAATATAGATCAGACTACTGCCCCTTACAGAATACCAACAAGTACAACTTATTGCAATTGGAACATGTTATCACAGCGAATAACACTGCCAAATGTTTCGTTTACAACATAATAGTGTCATTTGTCACACGTTAGCTAACCGACAACTTACCTAATTCTATGTACAGTATTATGTTTGTGTTTCTTTTTCAACATACTAGTGTCAGCTGTCACACGTTCAAACCAACAACTTACCTCTAACTATATGTACAATATTATGTTTGTGTTTACAACATACTAGTGTCATCTGTCACACGTTCAAACCAACAACTTACCTCTAACTATATGTACAATATTATGTTTGTGTTTACAACATACTAGTGTCATCTGTCACACGTTCACGCCAACAACTTAC